TGAAACTAGGATAATTCAAAAAGTACAAAGTAAACATTCCTTTATGTTGCAATGTAAAGCAATTACAATGGAGTTTTCTGTTAATAAATACTTCTCTGCACAAACCATGTGCATTTTTTAAATTTTCCTCCAGCATCAACTTACATGACGGAACATGTGCGTCCATTTTCCTGGATCTAGTTCGTTGACATTAAAGGGATAGTTCAGGGAAGAAGGACTGGATCAATACCACACCATCCCATACAGTTAGCAAACTGTTGAATAAACAATATACAGTGATTTAATCTGTGGGCTTTAGAAGTGAGGGCTGTGATGGTTTGGATTTTTTTTTTTTTACTGTGGTGAAAAAGCAACGTATCTGTTCGGCGTTTTTATCCCCATGACCATCGGTGGATAAGAGATATAGCAAATGGATGGATGGAAAATTACACCTATAATAATGATTGGGCTATAGCCTGATTTGGTCTAATAGACAGTCAATGATGATGACTAAACAATGATCATTGTGTTTACATTTCATATCACACACACCACATGCACTCCTGTAAAAAATGCTCAACCCCACGACAGGCGTCACATGACCACGGTATTGCTGTTACGCTGTGGTACTGGTGTCCCCACTAGCAGGATTAACTAGCTCGAGCAAGTGACTCACTCGAGACACAGAAATTAGTTGTTTGTCTAATTTATGGTCAAGTGAGTTGCCATAGTTTTCATCCTGTCATCAGCCGATTATTTAATACAACAAAATTAAAGTTACATCGCGTTGCATAAATGGTTTGTACCGGTTAAAGAGGCTCAATGAGAATTTAAAGAACTTTTCTCACTAAACCAGTTTCCTTTAATGTGATGGAAGTCAGAATTTTAAAGCTGCAGCTACAGTTATGAATAATTTATTCATTTATTCTGTTTGCATTTCAGACCAGAATGAGGTACAACAGATTCACTACAAAGCCACACATGATCTTATTGGTTATGAATCTCCCTTCCACCTTGTCCAGTAACACGTAGGTACACCTGGCGTGCAGACACTTTCTTTTTTTTTATGATCTCACCCCTCAACATGAAATTGGTAGACTTAATGACCCAACTGCCTCCGTGCCCAGTTCGACTTTCCGGCGCGCAGTCATGCATAATCCCACAAAATCTACCCAGCTTATGCATTTTAAATGGGAAGGCCTAAATCACAGAGCTGCTTTTAAGTGAATGCATTTCTAATAGAAAAGCAGACAGCTGGGATGGTGTCCCATTGTGGGGTGTCATCATCCAGCCAGATGCGTTTTATAGACTGTAAATATTTTTTTAATGTGTGCAAAGGTTGTAAAGTGGAGGCGTTTCATGCAGCAGAAACTTTCTGAAAAATCTCAAACATGAAGGACTCAGAAGCAGATTCTCAAAAGAATAATAATAACTTTGGTTTTTATCAACCAATATGTACCAGCTGCTCAGAGATCTTAAACGGAATGAATAAGATATTGAACTTTGACCCTGTGGTCCATCGGCTCTAGAGGAGGAACTTGACCCATAAAGTATATTGTTAAATATGTATGTATATGCTGTCCCCCTGATGAGGGCTGTTGCTGCTGGAACATGGTTTTTGTTATTGTTGAAGAGCAGATGAATTCTTTTTGTTCCTTTTTGTTTAATTTGAATAATGTACCTACAGGAAATACAAATATGCGACAAGGGGTGGGGAATCTGACCAAAAATATCGATGTATATATATGACAATCTTTTTATATAGAATCACGAGCATCCTCGCAGATTTAGTTGAACTTGTGGTTGCCTGGACACAAAGCCTGTCACTCCAACTTCAAAAGGCCCAATTTACAAATCTCTGTGCCCTGTTTCCACCCTGATTTTATTCTGAAAGTCCTGATCAGAAGTTGTGATTCGTATCTTTCCGCTACTATTGCAACTTAATATATATATAAGTATATATATATATATATATATACAGGATTAAGTTGCAAAAATGCTCCTCCTCCTCCTTTCATCCTCAAACAGAAGTGAGGCAGTGAGAAGAATTCAGCTGCTCTTCAGGAGTAAGAAAATCGCAACAGCCCTCATCAGGGGAACGGGATGTACATACATATTCAACTAAATATAGGCCAAGTGGTTCCTCCAGAGCCCGCAGAGTCAAGCATAACGTATCATAAGGAAATCTTCAAAATTCAATATTTCGTTCACTCATTCCGTTACGGTCTCCGAGCAGCTGAGACACGTCGGCTATGAAATCTTTATCAACCCCGCTGAATTCATTTCATACCTCACATAACTTCACTCGTCGACATCGTAGCTGAAGAGCGGACGGGTATTCACACAAAGAACGCCAATCATAACAACAGAGGAAGAGACTGCGAGTGATATTTATCAATGAGTTCTCAGGTGCTGATTCACTGGAGGTGTTGTGATGTGTCGTGGCTCTCAAAACAGCTCAAACTGGAATGTCACGGTGTTCGCCATCCGTCTGCAGCCAGAAGAGAGGACCGTCACAGAGCTGGAAGTGGGAAACAAAACACAAGAAAAGAAAAACAGCATGCACACTGTGCTTGTTTCAGTGATGCGCGCTTACATCTCTTTCTTTTGAAAACCCGGTAATGACTTGGAGGTGGAGGGCAGCTCTCGGTTCACGTGGCTGCATTTTTTTCCTCCCTCATAAACCCGCCGCACAAACAAGATCTTTTGAGAAGAGCTGTGGTTAGTTAATTCACACTCACTGGTTCCCGTCTCGCCAATGTTCAGAGAGGGAGCTCATTTGAAGCTTCTCTTTGGCCGCTTATTACACCTGCTGATTGATTGCAGAGCCCTGTCAGGGTTTTTTTATTTGGTCTTCAAATGCAAACATTTTTCTTTTCCGGGCTCGTTGGAAAAATTGTGCTTGAAAAAGAAAAAGAAATAAAAAAAATTGAACTGTTTGTAGTTGAAACACAGTCTCAGTCACAATCTCCCAACACATATCAGAGCCTGAATGTTTTGAGGACAACGCCTGGTTGCAGGAGGAAACTCTGTCTTGGCATGTTGCTAGGCGATGCATTAATATTAATGTTGTCTTTTCTGAGAATGTGTGCGCTCTCTTCCCCCCTTGGGATAAACTGAAGCTTAAAGATATCTCCATCTCACTGATACTTCTTTTTATCCTCGTTAAAACTCATATCAAAGGTTTTAATTACATTCTGCAAATGTAATGCTGCAGAGCTTTGTGGGAAAAAATCACAATTGCCTTTTCAGTTTTCTAGTTGGCGCTGCTGATATGCTCGGCTCATTTCTGACCCAGAGTAATTGAAAAAACGGGGATGACGTGGTATATCTGGTTTATGTGGCGTTTGAACATGTGAACATGCTTATTTTTGCCCGAATCTAATCTTCACATCTGACTCTGAACCGGGCTCCAAAAATCAAATATGAAAAACATAAACTAAAAAAGCTAAAGCAGCATGATTTCCTCTGTTTTTAATCGTATTTGCTTTTCCATTTCAAAACATTTCGCACAGGAGAAATAAATCTATGATGGAGTTCACTCCCTGCCTCACCCTTTCCCCCGCTGGGCCTTTAGCCCCGAGTCTTTGTCGTAGCCTCCGCCGCACCTCTCCGCTGCCCTCTCTGCAAAACCATTTTCCTGGCGCTGAAACACAGATGTTATCCATCTGATTAAACGTTCAAGGTTACATCTCCAAATACATCAAAGTCTACCTCTCCCAAAAGAAGAAGCGTGACAGCCAATATTTTTGGTAGCCTGGAGGTGCAAGCTCCAGTGTCCTCCCTTTTTTTTTTTTTATAGGCACATGAAAGAGACTCCAGCACATGTCGTGCCTGTACAGGTAAATTGGTATCTCTGCTTAAAGTATCATGATGACTGAGCCGCAGCCAGTAGGTGACATGAATGACACTGAAGGAACATACCAATTTTTATACGAAAAAAAGCACATTTCAAAAGGTTTGTTTACTAGACCTACAATTTGTTGAGCAAATGTGCTGAGTGGAGCTGAAATGATCAGCTGTCTTCCTGTTATGAATTCATCTCTGGGCTCAAGCAGAGATAACCCCGTGACATCAGCAGAGGTCATTGTTTGAGTCTTTACAGCTGTTATCACAGGCTGCTAGATACTGACCTTTATATGTAACAGTGGTGAAGTTTCTCTTTACGTTATCTATCAAGAAAAAAAAAACGCTGGTTACCTGGATTTTTTTTTTGTTGAATTTTCTGAATAAAAAATAAAATCACAACATTAAAGGAAAAGTTCAACATTTTTATGGAAAATAAACCAATTTGCATATTTTCCGGAAGTGAGATGAGAAGACTGATACAATCTCATAAATTGTTCTGGAACTATTGATTATTGTCACAATCAACTGATCAGTCGATTACTTTCTTGGTAAATCCATTACTTGTTTGTCCATAAAGTGTCAAAGCCGGAGCTGACATATTCAGACGTCTCGTTTTTAATAAGACCATGCATGCAGAGCTCAAAGATATGTGGTTTAATATCACAGAACACTAAGGAACCCAGTAAATATTCACATCCAAGAAGCTGAAATGTGTGAATGTTTGGCTTTTAAATGTGGCTTTAATGATTAGTTGTTATCAAAATTGTGTTTATGTATGTTTGAGTAGGAAGGTAGAGATGGCAGGTGGCTAGCTTATCTTTGTAGCCTAGCCTAGCCTCTGTCCAAAGTTCAAAACTACACCTACCAAAGCTGGTTGTTGGATATCACTGTGGTTGTCCAGAGCCAAAACCGAAACCTGTGCTCACTGACCTGGTAACTGGAGTTAGAGCCGGAGCCGCTCTACAGAAGCTGCTGGACAGAAACAGTTTCAGTGTGTAACTCTCTCCCTGTGTTTGAGGTCTGAGGAAAACCTTGGCTGGGACGCTGAAGTATTCCTTTCTCTGATAACGGAGATAACAGTTAATTTAGCACCTGCGCTACAGCCCTGCATATCTGCTGCCTGTCATCCCTGACTCATTACTTTTCTTCTTCCCCCTTTTTTTTTTTTGTAGAGATCGAAAAAATCCAGAAAGATGAGGGGAAGGAGGAGGAGAAGTTCATCGACGTCGTCATCAACAAGAACATGAAACTGGGCCAGAAAGTTTTAATACCAGTCAAGCAGTTTCCTAAAGTAAGTGCTATAGTATCACCAACCAACCAACCACCACCAGAGACTTCTGCAAGAATGTGATCTGCGCCGATAGAGAATTTTAGATCGTGTTATTTATAGATAATGAAGCCAACTACAGTTGCTCTGGTTTTGATTTAAATTCCTTACAACAGCCACTTGACACTTTTTGTTGATGCTTTATGTTATTAGATGTAGCGTATCTGGAAGGCGGCATACAGGCGGAGTGTTGGCTGACAGAACTGGGGTAGGACTATATTAGGGATGTTACTTCCTGTCTGAAGACTTGTGTAAGCTTCTGAGATGTTACAGCTGTAATTCTCACTCCTCCGCCCTCATATACACACCTCTCCATTACTCTGACCTTGGTCAATGACGCTCTGATGTCTCGGTATATTAATTTGTCAATGAATATTTATGAACAGAAGATTCAAAAGGAATTTTTGTCACAGTGGATTTCATTTCATACACGCTAGATACATGTACTTGTAGGTCTGTTTCTCAAAAGAATTAATAGCTTGTAAGGTGACAGTGTTCGCAATGGAGTCATAGACGGCCAGCTTCACAGTGACCTCCATGTGAAGCCCCTCTGAGCGATAATGCAGTTGCCACATTGGAGAGCACTTCAGCCTCGCCCACCGCCACAAGGAGCCTTCACCGGCAGCAGCGGTTTTATTGGCGCCACGCGCTCGGTGCATGACAGGGATTTCCCGCTGGGAGCGCGACGGGGAGGCTGATGTAAAAGTGAGAGGGCTGCTCTTACACCATCACTCAAGTTTTCACCTCAGCCCTCCGGGGGGAAGGACAGCGGTAACCTGGAGTGAGTGGATGGAGAGGACAGCAGGGAGGAAACACAGCACAGGAGTCAAATACTGAACCAATAACACTCCAAAGGTTATACTAAGGTTTAGTTTTCTCTATACTTCTCTGATCAGTTAATGACATGCACAGTAAAATAATACCAAAGTCAATTTCCTGGGTGTAAAAATCAGCAATGTACCAGGTTTTATATTAGTCCACACTCAGCATGACCCACCGTAGAGTCGTATCAGCTCTGTGACAAACACATCCTCACTCAGGACTCTTTGATGTCAAATACTTAAATAGAAAACTAATTTTGAATTTTACTTAGTTTCACGTTCTCTGCATCCCTGCCTTATGCCCATGAGCATTTATTTGGTGACTGACTCTGCAGTCACCTCAGTGGCTTTTTGAAGCTGCACTAACTGCACACGTCTAACATCAGCATGCGACATTCGCAGCGCGTACAACGTTCTCCTTCTTCATGTAGTGTGTTAGCTCGCTAAGATTTGCTAATAAGCACTAAAGGCAATGCACAGCTAAAGCTGATGGGGATGTAATTTAGTTTTTTTTGTTGGTCATAACCCAAAGTACTGATAAAATTTAAATTTTGATAAAAAGTCAGGAGGTTGCCAAAGTTATTCCAAGTTATCCCGAGGGGACCGTTAATGCTTGGAGTGAGTCCCAAAACCTGTAGATTAGTTAGCATTTTAGCACTTCTGGTTCCTTCTTTCCTGAGTCTCTGGGGTTTTTTTTGGATCAGTTTTCTGATCAGTTTTTTAAAGCCTTACATTAGCTTATGACTTCTGGTGGTTTTATTTAGGCTTCAAAAATATTATTTTCTGCAATAATCCAAAAGCCAGTTTAAAAATCCCATTGTTTTTTTCGTCAAGGGGAACCAGGGTGATGCTAACTTCCGGCTTGGCCTTTAGAAATACATCAACGCTGCAGCACTTTATAGTTATTGAGACATTTCAGTCTGGACCACCCACAGATTCACGCTGCTAGCTAAAAATGTCTAAACATCCATGTAAACCACTTTGTGACTGTTCCAACTATATATAACTAAATGGTTGGACTGCCAGACACTGTAACTTTCAGATTTCATTTGCATTCTTCACTGTGTGTTTGTACGGTGATCACTTTTACAAGTGTGTCGTTTTTTTGAAAATGACCAAATTGACGAACAACAAAACAGTCAAATCTATCAATACATACTGTATATTACATGTTGACAGGACGGTGCTAGCATCTTACTAGCTAAAGATTTGTAGTCGCTAGTTTCTGTCTCCATTGTTCGAACTTGATTTCAGTGTCTATATTTCAGTGTGTAGTTACGACCTTGACGACCTTTTTGTGTGAATTTTGAGCAGACTCATTAATCACCATGTGATGACATGCACTCCACTGACTGAGCTGAAATCTCTTCTACAAAATAATATCGGCGAACGCTGAGTGTGTACTGCGTATGTATGCGGTGTCATCTGGAGGCTGATCTGAGTCTCCCAGGTTCACAGCTAAACAGATTTGCTCTGACAGCTTTGATAAGTAGAGCCACTAATACGCTGTTTAGAGCTCCAACAAGCCACCGAAGGAAGACAAATTCAATTTGTTCTGTCTGACAGGTAGCAATGGCAAGAGTGATTGGTTTGACTTGAATGGGTTTTCTTCTGAGCTGCGAGCATCACCTTTTGGCTTCTGGCATTGAAGTGGCACGACCATTTTCCAAATAGCCATTTAGGAGCACATGCAGAGAGCTTAAATCCATCCTCTGCAAACAAAGCTTTTTATCAAAATGAAGTGGGTGAGGACGCGACGCTGTAAGTTCCACGCTGCTGATCCTCAGTGATAAAATGGAGCTGCTCCTCAGCGATGATTTTAATACCCAACACCGATGAATTCCTGGACTTTCTAAGAGTGATGATTTTTATAGTGTTAGTACAGTGTTCTGTTGTGGAAAGGACACTTCAATACTACTTCCTTTGTTATCATTTATGTCTCATAAAGACTCACTCAACAGCTCTCTTGGAGGAAGGTTTAATTGAAAGCTTGTCTACAGAAATAGAGAGAGATTTACATGATTTTAGCAACATGACGCAACGTCACACCTACTCAGGCAACTAAAAATATCCCACCTTTTGAACAAGGATACGCTATCAGTGCTCATCTGTACAATTGCTGGATCTGGTGTCTCTGAAAAGCATCTTTTGGCAGAAGGCACTGTGGGCCATTAGCGAGGCGTAAGGAGTCCCACTGGTTTATTTCCAGTTCAGACTGTGGCTTTTCTCTCTGCGCTGGGAGCGGTGATTTATCCTTCTGCTGTCGTTCCTGTCCTGCTGTCCTCAGCACAATCACCGCGCTGGCTCTCTGTGAGCACACCTTTTGCCAGACTCGCAGTAATACATTCAGCACACGATAAAAAGATCTCAGATGTGCCCCCCCCCCCCCCCCGCACCCCTTCAAGTTAAGTGTGATTAATCATGCATTCTTTCTCTACTTCTGTCCGCTGTCTTTCTCTCTAATCATCCGCATGACATTTTTCTTTTCTTTTAACAGACAACCAGGATATGGTGCAACATTTTAAACCCCGTTTTTATATCATTTCATGTCATTTCCTCTTTTTCATATTTTATTTGTATCACTTTTTTTTGTTTTTTTTTTTGCGCCACTAACACCACAGCAGCGCAGCAGGCAACAACCTGTAATTAAACACATCAGCTTTTATTCTGGTGATTACAGGCAGCAGTAGAAGCAGCACCAACCATCACCATCACAATCCTCTCACACAGTCTAATGACATGAACCAGTGCAGGAGCCCAGGCAGGTTTTTGTAAGTCACATAATCCCTCGTGATAAGTAAAGCATTAGCAAAAAACCCCAAAGCATCAATCACAGTGGGAGTCAGATGGATTTTGATATGTGATAAACAGCGGGGATTATAGTTATGTGTTCAGTCATATATTTGGATTGTCCATATGAGGAGGTGTGTGCGTGTGCGTGCCTCTGCAAATCTATTGACTGGTCTCTGATGTGTTTAAATGTCCAGATTAAAACTTCTGTTTGACATTTACTGGCATTAGTCAAATAAATACAAAGCAAATCCCCATGATCTCTCTTTAAATAGTCAAGAACTTAAAATGGTGTCAAACAAATGCCATTAAACCAATACCTATATCACTATATTATCTATAATAGAGTCTTTAGTGGCTCAGAAGAGTCTATGTCTCATATTAGAACAAGTTGGCCACATAAAGCAGCTACTGTACAGAGCCTGGGAATTCAAACGAGCCACAGGACCCCTGTTAACAATCTGTTTCTCCACTTCGAAATATTACAAGTCCTCGGGTTTGCTATGTGGTGATTTGATTATACAAATGAATTTAGGAATATTCAACATTTAAACACAATCAGCTGCAATAATGAACATCAAGCCCAGACTTAAGACTTAGACCAGGGCCTCAAGATCAAACTCTGTCTCCAGGAAATGATGTTTATAGAAGTGTCAACAGTTAATTCATTTTGAGAGAAGTATAATACCGCCTGAAATATGTTTTAATAACATCATAACGAGCCGTTTTTAAAGAACATACTGCAAATGCAAAGTCTCGAAATGTGGATACATTTGTTTTCTGTACAATATCCCAACACAATATCTGCCTATTTCTTTTCGTCACTTTTAGGCACTCACAGCAAAAACGATGAACTAGGTTTACCACCAAAAACATCAGGGGTGGGTGATCTTACGATATTGTATCATGGACGATCTTACTTTGGCACATGATCGTCTTTTCAGATGAATCATACAAATCGCGTCAGTAAAAGGTGCGATCTTTAGATAATTAAATTTCAGTCACTGCTAACTGTTAAACAGCGAGCCCGCCGACTGCAGCTGGCTGGTAGAGCTACAGTCCACCTGCGGGACAACAGATCTGCCCACAGGTAGGGAAACACGAAGCGGGGCAGCGACTGAACTTTCAAATTAAAATACCTACGTATATCACCTCACAATTACAATGCCATGCTGATATTTAGCAGGCACAATGTTTACCATGCTAACCATCTTAGTTTAGAGTGTTAGCATGCTAACATTTTTTAATTAAACACCATGTGAAGCTGAAGCTGCTAGTGTTGTTATTAGTTTTACATGTATTTGATCTTAAACCTGTAGCATTGGACAAGTTAAACCTTTTATCTGATGATGGTGCAAGATAGAAATTAAGGTGATCACCAAGTTATTACAATTGTGTGTCAAACTCCCACAATTACACAGACATTTCACTCAAAACCACAAATGTCAACCTCATGACGGCATTAAAAGAAATGTCAGAGGCATATATAAATAGATAACAGCGCGGTCCAAATGAATAGTCCATACGAACGATGCAAGAAGTGTGATTGGTCGTTACACAATTTATAAAACAGAAGACAGCAGTGCGGGCAGAGAATAGCCGGAAACATTGGAAAAGAAGCGTCGGAAAGATACGAATCACAACTTCCAGTCGTGACTTTCACGATAAAATCAGAGCAGAAACAAGATGCAGATTTGTGATTCAGATTTCTGATTTGTGATTCTACCCAGAAAACATTGTCATACGACCTCGCGGCCAGATCGGCCACCTGTAGCTCACACTGACTTGCAGCACAAGTGACGACATGAACCACGATCTTTCTCTAATCTTTACTCCAACGTGTTCCACAACAACCACAACCCTCAGAAAAGTATTTTTATACACATGTTATACTTATGTGACTGGAAATAACTGTTGCCAGTCAACATAATCCAGGCAGCAATTACCTTTCTCATCAAAATATAATTGGCAAAACAAATTAGTTTGGATATACAGTATGTAAATGGAAGCTATAGGAGACAGCAGTGCAAGATCAGGTGATGCAGTAGTGTCAACATTAAGATCCTTATCATGTGAGCTGTGTTGCTTTTAGAGGAAAATTTTTACCATATTCTTAAATAAAATTACAATTAATGAAATTACCACAAACCAGCTATGGCTTGTGTGGGGCCCTGTGGGGATGTGAGGCCCCGGGGCATTTGCCTGTTGCTTTGTGTGGAGTCCAAGACCTTCATGTTTCTAGCAGCATTTATTAATATTTCTAGATGAAACATCTTCTCCTCTTTTTTTTCTCCCCCTCCCAAGTATTTTTTGGAGTGTTTTTAGTTATGGTTACAGACAGCTGTAGAAAAACAACAGGAAATGAGAGCGAGAGAGAGAGCGAGAGAGAGAGAGAGAGAGAGATGTGGCCAGACTTGAACTGTAGACGTTACAGTCTTAACCCTTAAGCTGCGGAGGCACCTCAAACTTTAACTCATTAACTCCGTGTGTGCAGCAATACGTTTTCATCATTTTGCATAAAAACAGAAAAGAGAAAACAGACGTGTTACTAAACTATAGGTTTAAAACAAAATGGACGTTACTCCAAATTAAAATTAATTAAGACAATTTAGGAACATAAATCAGTAGAAAAAACACTCTGCTAATCAACATTGCACATTTTTACATTGTGTGTTCATTTACTGTATTTTTCTGACAGAATGATTTAATTAAAAACTTGCCTACAGGTCAGTAATTGGATTAGCTCGCACTGTTTACAAAATCTGACATAATTAAATTCTCGAATTGATAAAGTAATCTTTAATTAAGAATGATTTAGTTACTTCAGGTGCCCTGGTAGACAGTTTTTTAGTACAGCACAGAGTCCTAGTGATGCAGCGCGTTTCTCATTCAACAAATTCCATTTCTTATTATATCGTAAACTGTCCGCTGCAGACAAAGTCGGATCTAAAAAGGGCATTTGTTCTGTCGTCAGTTCACTAATAAGCCAGAGTGTAATTTCGTCTCTGATTTCACTGAAACTCAGTTTGCAAACAGTACATTTCTATCTGCATGAAGTTCTGTTCCACAGTCTGTCTGACATTTCCTGTAAATTTCCCCCCGTTGTGTTTTTACGGCCTGATGCCCTGATGCACAGTTGATGTAGCTTCTACACTGTAATATTGAAACCTGCACAGTAGCACTTTGTTCTCGATCAGGAAAAAAACAAAAAAAAACAAAGCTTTCCTCCTTGTTTGAGCATTTTTTATTCTATCCATCCGGCGCTGGGGAGGACTGAGATATCCACACAAACGTTCCAGACACCGTGTCCGATACTTAACCTGTCAGAGGGAACGGGTGCACGGAAGCTGTAGTAACACGGAGAGATGTCGGCTGTGTGATCTGTGCTCTGCAAATCATTGTTCAAGAGACGGCACAGCTCAGTGATCAAGGCTCTATCCAGGTGGAAATGATGGATGCGCAGGACATCGGTTAAACTCAGCACATTTAAAACATTTCCTGACACCCTCTGTTCGCCCCGGCAGCGCTGTCTCCTTTGATGATCCTTTTGTAAACTTGAATACATTAGAGGCAGGACACATTTTGTTTGCTTAGATAACTTTAAATTGAATCTCCCTGACCCAACCATTCATGTCCTATTGAGTATATTTGTTAATTATGGTATAGATTACAGTAGAGGGATTGTAATCTTTTGAAGGACTGAATGGAGACACGTTAGCATAAATGCTCTAGTTTTAGTTTGACATGTTCATCAGTCCAAGGTCAGGACTTTGCGGGGCGCCACTCACTCCCATTTGCAAGTGCAGGGCTGGAATTAGCACAGTGGGTCTTGAATAGGTTCCTGCATGATCACATGCAGTCACAGGGCCGTGTGTAATTATAAAAGCTGTAGGAACATACAGTAGCAGAGAGCTGCTGGAGTTCAGCATGGCCAGGATATAAAAAAAAAAAAAAACCAAGACAGTCAGTTACTGCATTAGAGCGAATCACTAAAGCTCACCTCTCAAATCCTTCACCCAGGAATTGTTAGGAGCCTCCTAATAAGCACTCGCTTTCTGAACAAAAGGCAGCAGAGCTATAGGAGAGGTGTGTAGAACAAAACTGGCTGTTTTCTTACCTCCTGCTAGCTAATTGATGACCTAGATAGTTGAGGGAGACAGCTGTATAACTCACTGTTAAAGGAAAACATGGCGAGGGGGGAGAAACGTATCGCTCTCCTTTTGTCTCCCTGACCATCTCCAGCTGCCGGTGGACTTGTGTTGAGCCCCGTCTTAAAGGTTGTACGACTTTGATGGGTGTCTGCACGCGACACGCCTCCACACAGTAATACATAACATTTGGGTTTTTATAGCTAAAAAAAAACTAAAAAAAAAACGGTGACCTTGTGAGGCAATCTTGCGCCGGGGGAGCCTTTTGGTGGATGACAGAGCGCCAGATGTGGTCGAGTTCGATGTTAGCTCAAACAAACAAACAGCATCATGATAATACTGATAATGTCTGCGCAAATATTGCAACAGATGTGTGAAATGTTGTGAACAGATACCAGGAAGTAAAGTTCTGGTTATGCTCCGGTTGATTTGACCTAAACTGCTCTAGATATCAAAGACTGAACAAATTTTGTTTTTACTTCCACAGTTTCAGTTTGATTTAATGTCTAAAATCTCTCTAAACAGCGTCTTCTCACTGTCCAGCTGCCAACGTCCAGATGAACCTCAGAGCTTCTGTTCTATTCATCAGGAGTCACCTTGTTCTTCTTACTGTGTGCGCTCAGCAATTAAGCTTCAGGAAAAAGCAAAGCTGCGTTTTGCAGACATTTTTTTGACCCAGTTTTCCGCCTCTCAGGCAGCAACATCCAGGCTTCCATATCTCAGTGCTGGAGGTTGTAGGTGCAGCCTGAGATGAAGGCCATCGGCACCACCACAGGCTATAAGAAGTACTGCCGCCTCCTTCTGCATGTTATTAGGGTAGAAAAAGATAGTACAGTATATAATATATTAAATATATGTATTAGTATGTATTAGTATAAACGCATTTTTAATTATCATACAACTATAAAAAGCATAAGAAGAAAATTTCATAATAATTTGCAAGACTAAATGTAACAAACGATTCACTTTTTTTTCTCCTTCTTTTCCTTCTCTGATTGGAAAACCTCTGACTTCATTGTTTCCTCTGCAGTTCTGAAAACCTCCGACCTTCCTACTGTCCATGCTTGTGAATGTAATGCTAACTTTATGCTAACTTTATGCAAAGTGAATATAACAGTAACTGAAAAGGCGACACAGTGAACCTGGGTGAAGACCCCTCAGAAAATTCTAGTTCAAGAAGTGGACGGGAAAAACTGCTGATAAGTTTCCATCGGCTTCAGTCACTCGAGTCGTGTGTGTGTGTGTGTGTGTGTGTGTGTGTGTGTGTGTGTGTGTGTGTGTGTGTGTGTGATTGACACGAGAAATGTCTTTGCTCTTTATCTCAAACACACAGATTCTGATTGATCCGCGCGCTCTCTCTCTGTTGCAGTTTAACTTTGTTGGCAAACTCCTCGGGCCACGCGGGAACTCGTTAAAGAGACTACAGGAGGACACTCTCACAAAGATGTCAATTCTCGGAAAAGGATCCATGAGAGACAAAGAAAAGGTAACACTCCAGTCCTGTTATTTCAATTTTTATTCCCGCTCTCCTGGCTCCTTTTACTCCTTTTACTTCCACATCATTTTTTATTTTTTTTTATCTCCGTCTGCTGCAGCAGGTCCTTCACATGGTTTGAAGTCAAAGTGGGCGGGACCAACCTTTTAAAGTTTAGAAAGAGAGATTTTAATGTAGGAGGTCCAATGAAAATCCAACTTCAATTAGGATTGAACTGTTTCTAATCAGTGTTAGAATCATGCATCTTATTATTATTATTATTATTATTATTATTATTATTTTTCGATTCATCTACTAAATATTTTTGTAAAAATATTCAGTTTACTATCAGATAAAACGAAGAAATATTTGCTATTTTTATTATTATTATTATTATTTCTTTATATTATAACCTGGAGGAAAAAAACCCAAACATGTTTATTTGTTTGATAGTCGTCTCTCATCTTGAATCAGATGTGAGAGATTCACCCGCAGGAACCGGAACTGCATTTGACTGACAGCTTGCGGGTCACAGAGGTTTTTTTTTTTTTTTGAAGAAGAAGAAGAACAGCTTCAATCTTGAAAACAGATTTCAAAAGTTTATGGAAATGTGAAGGATTGCCAAACATGTCTGCCGTCGTTCAAAAGTCTGTTTCCTCTCATGGTAAACAAAAACACGCAGTCAGATCAAGCGCAGACTCCGCACAAGACAACGCTGTCTCGGTTTGTGGTTTTATTTTTCATATGAACTCTGACACAGGCGGGAAGAATACACCTCATGAGGATGTGTAGGTAAGACAGAGTGGATTTAAATGAAAAGGCTTTATGAGTGGAAGTGTTAAACACATCCCAGTCTTCTATCATCCCTGATCATGTTGGTACATAAAGAGAGGAAATAAACGGCCCTGGCGGCGGCTCTTTAGCAGCAGGATTGATTTCAGACTGGACTGGTTAACTGGGAATAAATCGACTTCACTTAGCTCGTCTGCGTCCCTCCTCTCTGTCTCTCTCTCTCTCTCTCTCTCTCTCTCTCTCTCTCTCTCTCTGTTTGTCAGGGGTGATTTGTCGGCGGCGATGATTTTTCCCCATCATACAGCACATTCTTTTTGATTACCGTGATCAATAGTCTTTGATGGTCGACTCCTCTCTCGAGCACGGAGAGAAAAAAGATCTGTCACAGAGATGTGCTGACCTCGACAGCCCTTACCTGTCTTGCGTAAACCCGCTGCGGGATTTATGACTGACAGCTTTCTCCATGCAGCGCTGCTTCCTCTTTTTTAAAGGTGGGGAGGGGGGTGGGGGGGGGATACACCCTCACTACAAAACTACTTCTTCATCTTCAGCTGCTGATGCTGACTTTCTGTTTTCAGCTGCACAGCATGTGTCATTGTCGCACTTAAAAAATGTCCTGGTGTAGGTCAGACAGCCGGGCCACTGCAGAGCCAGAAGACAGACCTGCTGTTAAACAAAGCTGTCTTTCTTCTTCTGGGGAGAAGCGCCAACTGAGGCTCCGTCACCTTAAATGACACGTTTCTTTTTATATTGACGAAATACATACTGTACTGTGTTACACCCGACTCACTGCACAGGAGGTAATGTACAGTTTTCATCCTGCTGAAGACGTGAGATGGAGATCTAAATTGCAGTCTAGCTCCTCAGATGATACAGTGAAACAGACGCGTCGGAGGATGAAACTGTACAACGTTCAGTCTGTTCCCTTTTTTTTAAAGCTCTTACAATATGGTGGAGACAACTGCAAAGAGCCGAGGTAATTGCTCAAATATTTGCTGCTGCGGGACCTTGATCTTGTGTTGACAGGAATGTGAGAGAGAGAGAGAGAGAGAGAGGGAGGGAGAGAGAGAGAGAGAGGCTGAGCTGGTTGTTGAAACCTCGGTTGTCCTGCCGCTGTCAGAGCAGGATGATGTAAAGGCGTCTGTGCTCCGCGCCACCTCCTCGTTAGCGCCGTGATTAACTCATCCATTCTGCTCCACGGGACTTTGAACTCCCTCTTTAATTTTCCTGATAGACAATAAAAACAAAACAATCACATTTTCTTTTATTTTTTTATTTTTTTAAACTTTTTGGTGAACTGCTGTGGAGAAAGCAAGTCTATTTATGTAGTTCTGTTCAGACGCAAGGAAATTCAAAGTGCTTTACAGAGGCAAATACATTAGAAATAGAACATTAAGATGATATCAAAATAGCAAAAACATTAAAACGATTAAAACAGATTAAAAAAGATGTTATGTTTGTGATTCATTGGTAAGCTGCAGCAAATAGCGATGTGTTAAGCCCTGACTGAAATGAGCCGATCTCAGGTGTTTCAGGAAGCTGGTTCCACAGGTGGGGAGTGTGGAAACTAAAACCTTGCTTTGGTTCTGATTCTGGGAACACAGAGTAAACCTGTCCCAGATCACCTGGATGCTTCATATCATACAAGCAGATCGGAGATCGTCTTTGAGCCCCAACACCATTTAGTGCTTCACAGACAAGTGGAAGATTTTAAAAGAAATGTAAAGAGAGCGAGGCCTGTACATGAACCCAGCTGTGTGTTGATGGGAGTGGTGCAGTTGAAATCATGTTAACAAAGATATGAATTATGGGAGATAAAACGTCAGGGCGACAGGGTTTCGCACCAAATTGTGAGCTCACAGGCTCAGTAAATAATCATCTATTGACATTATCATACTAATCAATGTACTGTTTTACTCCCACTGATTGTGCAGTAGCTGCTCAATCTATTATTATCATCATCACCTAGTTGATCATATTGCTCAGTCCCTTCACCGTCCTTGTGTTTTTGTTTCTGTTTTCTCCAGGGAATATCTACGGTGGCCCTGAAGCTCAACACACTGCAACTTAGGAAAACACATACAAGTAAAACAAACAAATTCAGGAAACATCTTCATCAGTTTGACAACACATGTGCTTTTCTGAACTTGCTTGTGTTTTGTCTGATTGCACGTGTTTTGAGCTCTCAGGGCCACCGTACATTTGTTTTTTCTTCTTCTCTGTCTTTCCTGTTGGTGTTGTGGAATTACCAGCCTCATGCTGTCGGCTTTAAAAACAGATAAAATAGTTCCCTCTGTCATTGGTAACCAGTGAAGGGAGGCCAGTACAGGGGGAGATATTGTATGGTAGGTTCAGTCGAGGAGACTTGCTGCTAAGCTGCGGCTGGTAGCAACATTGGCTCTGAATATATGTGAGTGTATGTTTTTTATTACCATGTTAAAGAGTAAATCTGCTCTTTGTGTTTATAATCCACTTTGAATGTCAGAGGTGTAGATAAACAAGGCTGATGGAGCTGAGCAGCGGATGTCTGTACTGTTTCATACAGTATGATGCGTCACCTGTCATTCAGCCAGAACATAATAGAACCTGCCCCTCATTTTTCCAGCGTCTGTTCCCTTAAATATTTCATTTGAATGTGAATGCACACAGAGCTCGACGTTGTTCTTTACGTCGCAGCTCCGTCTGTAGGAGCTCCTGTGTCCAGGGCGTCGCGGCCCTCTGCTTCCAGGGTGAACGACTTTTCATAAGCAGATTTACTGAGAGAGAGAGAGAGAGAGAGAGAGAGGGAAAAACATGTAAACAGGAGGAAGATGCTGGCAATAGATATGAGAAACAGACAGCTATAATCTCCTGCCGTGGGCTGCTTAGCTGCTAAAGCACTGAGCTGGATCTCGGATGCTTCTTATCAGTGCTTGGAGAGGAGTTCCCATGTATGAAAACTGCCTCGATATCAACTGTATCATATGCAAATGATGTGGTCACACGCTCAGATCGCTTTCAAACAAAATGACACTGGACACATTAAACAGATCGTATAGATGGACTAAAAGAACAGAGTCTTCAGATGATGTATGCTAACATTAGATTAGATCCTCTGTTTTTGTTGTTGTTGTTGTTTGTTTTGTTTTTTTGGCTGATGATAGTTAAAGCGCATGTTTTTCATTTCTTTTCTTTTTTTTCTTTTTTTTTTTTTCATGCAAATACACCAAAGAACAAATGAAAGGGGAAGAGGAGATACAGATCTGCACCCCGCTTACCCTCCCCACTCAACACCGTTAGCGCTGCTGTTGCTATGTGCAAAGGAGCCCCCTGCTCGTAAAGCGCAGATTTATGGGGGAAATTAACATATCATTAACATACCACAGGCACTCTTAAAAGAAGGTTATTTATAATTAGGTGACATCAGAGACACTGGCTTGCATGGTGCTGGGAGAGGGAGAAGGGGAAGAGGAAGTTGCCGACATTGGAAAGCCCTGGAGAAGACTTTTCTTTTTTTTTGAAAAAGGGGAAACTGGGACGCCAAACCTGTTGTTTCCTTTGTGTAATGTGGTGGGAGACGTTTGGGGTTTTATTGCTGTCCTATTTCTCGCCATCGGTAACATTATACTGCCCTGCTTCTGTTGGGCCTTTAAAGGCCTGTGCCATTGCCCTCACTGTTTACATGGTATTCTTTTCCATTGCAATCAAAGTTTAACTGCGGCCCTGACCACAGAGGTCGAGAAGAGCCCAGTTACATCTGCTCCACTTTCAGAGGTTTGAGTGGAACTTCATGCTTTACACCCGCATACAGCTAAAACCTGCCGCTTTCCATATGCAGATGCTCTGTGTGTGTGTGTGTGTGTGTGTGTGTGTGTGTGTGTGTGTGTGTGTGTGTGTGTGTGTGTGTGTGTGTGTGGCAACAGGTGATTGAATTGGTGCTGGAACCCCAGCAAAGATGGCGGAGTTGTTGTGGAAGCCAGATGTTTGTTTGAACCGGCCACTGTTTTATATGCAACAGCTAGTCAAGTGAGTTAGTATGTGGTTTGTGTCGCTGGGTTTGATGCATGAAAAATAAATGACAAAAACCAACGACATTTCCAACCAATAACAACTGGAACTGGAACTTTATCAAATGTCAGTCAAGCTTTATTTTAGCCGATTCATTATTATTTTCCGGGAACGGCCCTGATGCCGATCTCCAGGATTGTTCGGGATGAAACATGAGCAGGAACAGAACTACGTTTTCTGCAGAGCAAATATAACAGGTCACTGACCTTTAGTGAAACATGTTCATCGCTGGTGTTTCAGCACTTCACTTCCAAGAGATCAAACAGTGTGTCCACTGTTTGGATCTATTTTTTATTTTATTTTTTAGATTACCTGTTTTTATTTTTCTTCATCAGCTTCCACACAGCGCAGTCTGGACGTAATTAGGAATCATAACTGGTATGACCCAATTTTTCGGTCATCTGAGGACAATGTTCAACCAAGTTCTTTTTATTTATTTTCCAAGGTGGTTTTTGAGTCTATTCGACAAAGCACAAGTTTCACAAGATTGAAAGGGAAACATTTAAGTCGTGGGTGCGTCTCGTATCAGGCCCCAGGGAGCCAGTTCCAGCCGAGAGGCAGACCGCTGGAAATCTGTTGTCATGTTTAATTGGACTGATGTCGCGGAGTCACTCAGTGGAAACACAGACCATTCACGATTGTATCTTGTCCTACTCTGCAACTCTCCAACTCCATTAGTGGAGGGGCTGACACCGACTCTTTACACTCTTTTGACAAGAGTGAAATATAAATATAAAAATACTTTTTGTCTAGATTTTTATTAATTTTTTTTTTTTTTGTGAATGATTGCTCGTTTTCTTTACATCATATCTCTATTGTTTTTATAAAATGTCAATATTGCAACCTATAAAACATCTACTCTTTCCTCCCGGAGTTGCTGAACTTGTTTTGATGAAGCTACAGTCAGAACGAGAGCAGATATTATGATGAAGTGCACAACAGCACATACTTCATCTGTGCATTTGTTACGAGGACAGGCAGCTGTGTGAGGACAAAAGCAATCGGTTAAATGTGACAGCTGCAGTTGAAAGGATTGTAAGGATTGCCTGCGCGCAGAAATATAAGTCCACATAAATATTTTCTGTTTGTCTTTTTGTAACTCTGCAGCACCGAAGCATCAAACCTCATTATGTAACCGTTACGGAAAAAACTCCCTGCAGTAAATCCTTGCTGGAATACAAAAAAAAAAAAAAGATAAATGATCTTGAGCGTGACAGCTAACTTGCACTCATTCCCTAGACAGAGGATATATGACACCAAACTCTTTTTCATTGTTTTTTTTTATTTTTTTATTTTCCCATCAGGAAGAAGAGCTACGACAGAGCGGCGAGGCCAAATATCACCACCTGAACGAAGACCTGCACGTCCTCATCGAGGTGTTCGCCCCGCCCGCTGAGGCCTACGCCAGGATGGGTCACGCTCTGGAGGAGATCAAGAAGTTTCTCATACCAGTATGTTCCCCTGTCTCTCTCCACACACACACACACACACACACACACACACACACACACTCTCTCTCTCTCTCTCTGGCGTTTGTGTTTTCCTCCTCCTGAATCTCTTCGCAGCTGCTCTTTGGCCTCGGCCAACTCATTCTCAGCCTGTCCACAGTGAAGCCAGTGAGACACAGCAGAGTCAACCCGCTCCTCCACTCACACCCTCCGTCTGTAACTTGCGCTGTAATTCTGTCAGGGCCGTCACAGTGTGTGTGTGTGTGTGCGTGTGTGCGTGTGGGTGTGTGTGTGTGTGCGTGTGGAAAGCATCTGGCTCAGTGTGTGTGATTGTGATTCTGGGTGGGAAGTCGTGGGTATAACAGGAATAAAAGAGCGCAGGAGGGAATCTCTCTGCATCGACCAAACCCTTCTTGGCAGCAGCGTGCGGCGTGGAGCGTATTTACTCTTCCTCCATTCATTATGGATGATCTCTCCGATGCTCGGAGCTATGATGATTTACATCTCATCATTAATTACCCCCATTCCCACCCCGCTCCATGTTACTTCTTCTCACTGTTGCCACAAAACATATTTATTGATATAGCGGACGCATGACAATCATATCAATCCTTTCATGATTAAAGACCCAATTTCGTGTTAATTATGTGTTTTAATTTGGCAGCAAAAAGAGAAGATAAAGGCAAAAAAAAAAAAGAAAAAGGGGTGTCCCAAGGATTTATCAACGGGATATCTGAAATGTTTAGCTGCCTCAGGAACAGCGGTCACGGCAGTACTGTAAAGTACATTAATTAGATATTCCCGGGGCTGTAGCCCTGGAGATAAAGGACGTAATTTAATACAGAGTAATTGAAAGCGAGTCTACTGCTGTCTCCATGTGTGTGTGTGAACACACTGCCTCTCTGTGTGCAGGATTACAATGATGAGATCAGACAGGCCCAGCTGCAGGAGCTCACATACCTGAACGGCGGCTCCGAGGATGCCAAGGTGCCATCGGTGAGGGGCAAGTCAGCCGCCCGTGGAAGAGGGACACCTGTTCCAGGGCCTCCCAGGTAAAATGCTTCCAAGTGTGCGTGTGTGTGTGTGTGTGTGTGTGTGTGTGCAAGTTGTTGTGTATACGTACACATTGGTTCAGCTGGGGACTGGGTATAATTTACAGTTAAGGAGCTACTGGGAAGCCAGTGTTTTTTCTGTAAATGGATGTGTACGGTGTCCTGTTGCATTTTCAGAGTTAATGGTGCCATTAAGAGTTAGAGCACATTCACAACTGCCTGCGTCTGGTACAATAATACTAGTCATATATTTTTCCTTGTGTTGTTTTTATAATACAAGACATGCATGTCAAATTAAAGTGTTTTTTTTTAGGCCTTATTTCATGATAGAGCTCTGTGAATGTTTCAGGGAGACAGTTTTTTTCCCCCGATGCCTAAACAACTTGGGCCAGATTTATCAGCGCAAACGATGGCAGTAGTTTGCTATACGTGTGTATTAGCTCTTGATTTATTAAGGCAACAGCTCCTTGCACAGTCAGCTGATCCTGGGACTGCGCTGCAGGAGCGTGCTGCAAGTGAATGAGAGCTCACAGGTCATAATGTGGAGTGGGATGCCTGTGAGTCTAAAAAAAAAAAAACACATGATAACCTTGTGATCTTGACTCCATAATGTTTATTTTGCAGTTAAACTCCTTATGAGAAAAATATATATATGTATTTTTCACACAATTATGAAATGACAATCTGGTGGAGTTGAAAAAACAGATGTTTCACTAGAATACAGAGGTACATGAAGTCAAATGCAATAAATACATGTCTTTTAAAAGACAGAACAATCCAGCTGTCAAGACTTCTGTAACTTTGTGATGTCACAACAAAGCACTCATCCATGCCCCAAGCCCCGCCCACCTGGACCCACCATCCAACCTTGCAGGATTCGGTTTCTCTGAGTGTTTTACCTGAAATCTGCTATATTTTTTATTGGATTGCTCAGAAAACAGTCAGCCAATCAGAAGAGAGGCTCAGAGCCTCCTCTCTTCTGATTGGCTCACCAACCTGTTGTTACTAGAGCTCCAGAGAGAAGCCTGAGAGACGAGATGTAAAACTACATTAGATGATTTTTGGTTCTTAAAACCACAAATATATCTTCTTATGGATCAACACTTCAAATTCAGTCTTGGCCATATCACCCAAGTTTTTGAAAATTTAATACTATTAAATAAAATATGTCAAAAATGACCGACAACAAGAAAATCTAACACAACCTCTGCTCTGGACATTTTTGTGGTGCAACTACTTAAAGTTAGAATAATGGTAAAGTCCCATATGTGCAGATTAGAAAACATTCATATGTCAGTCAAATGAGCCATTTTCCACTGACAAACGACCTCCTCTGTTATTTAAGACCTTGTCGCTGTTCGCCGACTGACAGCGAGCTCACCGGCTCATAATGTCCCAGTACACTCTGATACAGGACACAGCATTGAAATAAAACTTAAACCAGACAAAGACTTCCTGTTTAATGTGATGAGTTGCCTCTCCAGAAGTTGTTTCTCATATTCTACAAGAATGAATGGCAGCGCAGCAGCTTCTTCTGAAGGCAGAAAAATGAGCCCTGATATTTCTAACTGTGCTGACTGTGTGCAGACTTCAGCAGGAATTACAAAGAGGAGGAGAAACCATAGATGATTGGCATAAAACTAAAACTACAAACCGAAAGCACTGCTGTTACCTTCTTTTTAAAGTTTGCAAATGGCTGCTTGTTTAATGAACTTCCCAGGCTGTTTCCTGCAGGAAAACCAGCTGGACAAGAGAAGGAAACTTCTACGGCGAGTGAGTCCAGTGTTCCCTGAACCGAGCTGTGACTGTCATCCCTTTTCTTTCATTGATCACCCGCTTCCCAGCCACAGCATTTATTTATCTCCACTGACATTATCCTATTCTATTCTGACTAAAGTAAGGTGTGAATGGTTGTTTGTCTCTCTATATCTGCCAACTTAAACTCTATAAAGTCATCAGTTGTCCTCCTCTCTTAAAACTGTCTGCATCAGAAGTGGGATTATAAGGATTATAACTTATTACATAGCTGCACTGATTAGATTCTATTTACACTTAACACTAAACTGTTTGTTTGCAGCCTATTTGGCGTCAGTTTGTTAACACCTCTGCATTTGTTTTTGCCAAGTAGGAGATATTGCACCTGTCAGAAATGTCACATACTTCCTACCCACTGTTACAACCACAGGGCTCACGATAAAATGGCATCTAACCGTCCTCCTCCCCTTCCATCGGCAGCGTTAGGACTCAATGTAGAATCAGACTGGTAACGTCGTTGACCTATGAACCGTGGCGCTCCACAAAAATAGTCATTGACATATGGAGCTTCATTTTATCATCGGCACTTCGGTAAACGAGTCTCGAGACGTTTACCGTGTTGGTTCTGTGTCCTGATGCCATATCTAACCTGAGACCTGTCTTGCTGGGTGCTGACACTGGTTATACTGGTCATTAAGGGAGCAAGAACCTTTAATAGGGTGATGGTAAAACAGTGTCTGGTGTTCTGTGGTGCAGTGACTGGTGTCCATAATCATCAGCAAAGCCAAGACACATTTGCATAAAAACCTTTATATGCAAACCATCGCTAGTCGACGCTTCCCTTCCTGCTATCCCTGTGAAACAACGCTAATGCCGGCTCCTCTGAGACCTCACAAGTCTCCAAATAAAAAATACTCATGGCCGTTAGAAGACTCTAATGCTGTGTGTGTGTGTGTGTGTGTGTATGTGTGTGTGCTGATGCTGTGCTTTAAAAATAGAAAGAAAAAAAAAAGAAATCACAAAGCGTTTGTTTGTTCTTTGTGTTTATAAAAGAAAACACACTTCGTTTCATCAGATTTTGAGATAAACAAGGTCACTGAGATGGAGTGTTTGTATTGCTCTGAGTCAGAATATAATTGGCTGTGTTTTAAATTACACCGTAATTAGCATTTACCATGCCTAATGCGAGTGTGATAAGACGGGAAGTCCCACAGGCTCCTACACAGGAAGTCGCGTGCTGTTTTGTGCACATTCACATTCACATGTGCTTGATTTTGATCAAGCTCTGGATGGAGACTTTGTGGCCGTCACCTTTTCCTCTTTGCTTTGACTTTGACTGGAGTTGTTGCTGGAAATAAAGTCCAGCTCTTAAAGGACAATCGACTCTCAGTACTTCTTTTTCTCTGCTTGAGGGTGGTCCAATTTCTATCAAGTAAACATCCGCCACTGTCCTTGTTAGTCAGAAAATTAAAGAATTCTTTTTTTTTTTTTTTTTTTTGTTCCTTCTGCCCCAAATGTGTGATGTTTCACCCAAGCAGTGTGCTGACAGCTGAAATGGAAAGCACAGAAAGAAAATGACCTGGAGAGCAACCTTGGTGGTTTTTTGCTGCTGCTTCAGATCAGTTAACTGCTTCTAAAAGAAAGCTCAGTCGGTGTAAAAAGCCCAGACAACATTTTACCAAACCACAAGGTCAGACTGCCTTTGATTTCCAACAGAGCGGCTTGACTTTGCTTCCATTTTGATTACAGAGCAGGTTTGACTCTGGGTTCTGTGTTAATTCATCTGGATGACTGTAGAGATCAGTATCTCAACAGTAACAGTGGCAGTTTCTCTGCAGAGAGAAAAAAAGCTTGTTTACCTAAATGTTAAAGGTAAAATCAAACCCCAGAAATGTGCTCCACAATATCTGAAACAGTTGTTTTGGTGCCACTTCCTCCCTGTCCCAACGCATGTGTTTATTTCAAGTCCCTTATTTTGCATATTTCTGTTTTTTTGTGCTTCCACGCCGGCGACAGCCAGAGCTGGAGGCATTATGTTTTCAGGTGGTCCGTTCGTCCATCCATCCGTCCCATTCTTGTGAATGCAATATCTCACTAACGCCTTGAGGAACTCCTTCAAATTTGGCACAAAAACCTTTTAGCCATAAGTCAAGATTTCACACAAATGGTTAATATTTTATACGATTCTGGATAAACAGGGATGTAACCTGAAACTAGTCTGAGTGGCGGAGGCAGACAACCACGAGGCAATAATTCTAATTTATTTGAAGTGTTGATCCATTATTTGTGGTTTTAACCAAAACTATTTCAATGTAGTTTCACATCTCCTCTCTCAGGCTTCTCTCTGGAGCTCTAGTAACAACAGGTCGGTGAGCCAATCAGAAGAGAGGAGGCTCTGAGCCTCTCTTCTGATTGGCTGACTGTTTTCTGAGTGATCCAATAAAAATATAGCAGATTTCAGGAAAAACCCTCAGAGAAACCAAATCCTGCAAGGTTTGGATGGTGGGTCCAGGTGGGCGGGGCTTGGTGACTGCTTTGTTGTGACATCACAAAGTTACAGGAAGTCCTGACGGCTGGTTTTAAGGCTCAGTGTCTGAATACAGGCTGTGTGCATTTCTCTGTGGACTGAGGCTTTGATACTTTCACAGTATTAATATAGAACCTAGACCTGCTTTATAATAAAAAAAAAACATGGAAAACTACCTTTATACAATATAGGACCTTTAAAAATCAACACACATCCATCACTGAACTGGCTTTTTTTTCATCTACATTTTCCTTAATAGACAGGAAAAGCAATTCAGCCACAAGACATGCTGTGTTTTGAGTAATGAACGTGACTCACTTTCTCTCGACTGGAGGAACCTGCCCTCCATCCTCGCTGTTCCCGTTTCTCCACCTACTCATATAAACCTGACGCTGAATGTATCAAATTCATCGTCAAAGTCATCGACTTGGTGGAAATCACTTACTGGAAGTGGAAGTAGACGAGGCAGCTTGACTCCAAACATAATAAATTACAGCGCCTCGTCATAAAGACATGGAATGCAGCGGGCATCTCATATTGATGAAATATAATAGTGTCCTTGTAATACTATCTTTTAATGCTTTATCATACGAACATGTTGTGTAGAAAGAGAGTATGCAGTGTGTTATCGGATCCAACCAAACTATTTCTCCCTCCAATAATTAACAGAATAACGGAATTAGATAGAAATTAGACTCTTTGATCTAAACCTGGGGCGGATGTTTGTGTCTTGTGTCAGGAGTCGAGGAGGAGTTCCTCCCCTGCATGCAGCGGTGCCCCGAGGAGCGGCACCCAGAGGAGCCCCACCCAGCCGGGCTCCATCCTCCAGAGGGAGGGGGGTGCAGAGAGCCAGAGGCGCCCCACCAGCTGCCGGATACCGACCGGCTCCTCCCATAGTTCAGGACACGTACGGAGAATATGTAAGTACATAAATGTGAGAACCTGAATGGGGTCAAAGACCAAGTCACCGTTGAGAACGTGTATCCAAATATACTCGTGCTCGTCAGGGGCTGAAACTATGAGTCTTTTTCCATAGCATTAAAATGTACAAGAGTCAACAATGCATGGAAAGTCTGATTACATCCAACTAAGGTCTTTTTGCTTTAGCTGTTTGTAGCTTTGATAAATAACAAAGATGAATCAGAGTGCAGTAAAAAAAAAAAAGAAGCCAGACACAGGGATGAGTGTGGTCGCCCACCGATGACTAACAGCAAGACGTGTGAGTAAGTGTGAGACTCTTCATCATCTGACGAGACTAAGCGGCAGTATTCAGTGTCAGTGCAGACAGCTCTGTCCGTTACGTAGCAAGGTGGAAAGTTAGGGTGTGGTCACGGTGGTGGATGGACGTGTAGCGCAGGGGTGGACTGGGATTTTGTCTCCCGTCAGCTCACTGGGTCTTCAGAGACATTTCTTCCTGCATACTTGAGAATTTTTTAGTATATAGTATTTTAATGGCTGACGAAATGAGCCATAAGCCATGTTTGTAAATCGAATCAATATTGCGGTTACAGTGTTCTTGTCTGGTAACAGGATTGTTGTTGTACAATTGATTCATTCTTGCAGGTTTTACCTCTTGTTGCATCTGGAGAGACACTTTTGATTTTATCCTCCAGATTTTGAGATTTCCCAAACAACTGTTTAAAAGGTTTGCAAACTGTGATATTTGGAGGTAAAGACACTGTGAGGGCTGAAGGGATCAGACTCATTCTGGTGTCCTGAAAACAACCAGAGGTTAGCTGTCGTAGTTCGGTTGCTGATTTGGCTGAAGCACCAACACGGTCAGCAGTTGCGGCAGCAGTGGCTGTGACACACAGTTCATGGAGACAAATCAAATACTTCAAATCCCTTATTTGCCCGATCGCTGATCTGACATCCATCGCATTCATGAATCCGCTTGGAAATCATAGAAAAGAAATGTTTCTTACAAAGCAAGACTTCCCTGAGAATCGTCCTGTTTTAATGCAGTGACAGCTGTGTGTACATTGATGGATACGTTGCTAATTTGGCATCATTTTAAATGGTGACAATTTTACAAAATTGGTACAAATTTAGCCAAAAGAATGTGACTGAAGTTGTAGGAAACAGCTGAATCAGTGACTCTGTTGCTTACATCTTCAAAAAGTTATGAAACTTAGAGCATTACTGTCCCCCAAATACAAGTAAGATTAGTTAATATTTTTGGCGCATTGCACTAAAACTGCTCACTGTAAAGACTCGGCTGGTCTGGATCATCGAGACTATTTCTTTCGGCAAGGTTATCCACAGTAACAACAAAGTGTCTGCAAACACATGCTGCTGCTGCTTTTTTAAATGTGTTTTCAATATTTTGAGCATCAAAAATGAACTTCAACTCATCTCCGGTGCGTCGGATTGTCTGCAGAAACATTACAGACAGACAACAGAAAACACCAGCGCAGAATAACGTGACCACGCACCACAACGTGTGAGAAAACATGTTGAATTCAAAACCATCATATTTAGTTGTTTGTCCGGATACATCATGTGTCTGCATAAAGAGTGTGAATTTGTTATTGTAGCCATTATTGTGATCTGGTCCTGTAGCTTACCTGCACAGTCTTATGGGGGCCTGGCTCTAATATCAACAGCTGCCAGAGATGAATATATTAGGCTTAGAGTCAGAGCCTTTGTGCATTAGCCAAGAGAGTCTCCTGCCGCACTGTCAAGGCAAGTTCCCCGGGGACCACAGCATCAACATCGCATATTTAGCAGATAGAAGGAGAGAGGAGGTGGCCCGCGTTGGAAAATTGCCCCAGCAGCCCATACCTAACCACATCTGACAGGTTTATTCAGAGGTTGCAATTCAAATGCGTGGAGGTCGTAGAGAATGACTCCTGGACCAGCTGTTTCCCATCATTGTCACAGTTGTAAACTGCATCCCCCGACACCTGCACCTGTGTATCTGAGTGGGGGGAAGAGAAAAAAAAAAAAAAAAGAGACCCCCAGCATCTGCCAGATGATAAATCTAACCACATCGCTGCAAATTAGAGGCTGAATGAGTTGCTCTGTATTATCTGAATATATCACCATCCCAGGACAAGTGTTCTCCATCGGGTGCTGACAAATAGGCGCTTGTATTCATCAATGAAATGACAAAGAGATGTTTCTTGTTCACATTTGTTGCCTTCATTTATCACTGCTTAGTATTCACTCGTATGCATGTTCCCCGCCGTTTGTCTTTGCTGCGCTGCATCGCCACGGGCGAAAACATTTGTTCAGCTGGAGGCGTTTTTCTTCTTCCCTCTTGTTCTGACAAAAGACACAGGGCCTGGGTTACCTCTTGGTGATTTTGTCCCGATGACGCATGGGAGTACAGTATCTTTGTCTGGATGTTTTTTGTTTTGGTTTACATAATCCACCTCTGTTAAAGCTTCTGTTTGTACTAGAAGTATCAGTATCAAATTACTCTGAATCCAATTGTTACCAAACAAAATCACAGAAATGTTATTATCCCATGATCCATTCTTGGCAGCCCCATCAGTCTTGAATGGTTACTATGATTGCAGCCAAATCTCATTTCATGTAATTCATTAGGCGCATAGAGATCTCTGTCTTACCTGCTGCTAATCCCATTGGAGAAGAATTAAACATGATGTAATTCTCAATTCAGAAACGAGGGTGCATGTCATCTTTTTGTTGCAGTCTGAACGCTGCCAAAGTGGAAACTGATCAAAGTGGCTAATCAAAGTAGCAGAACTTCACTTTCATGCTAAATCTAGAGCTGCGTGTTCGTGCAACTGTGTTTGTTTCTGTTTACACAGAAGCTTAATTCCCTTGGGTGTGAAGACCAAGAAATGTGCAATGCACGTGGGCTGCATTATTTATGTTAAATCCTCCAGATACAATAATCCGTTGTGAGCATTGTTGGATCCTTGCTGACTGTTACAGCATTTAAAAAAAAAAAAAAAAAACCTCATCCCCCTCAGGCACTTCTCTGCATGTCCGGCCCTGTAGAGAGCCAAGCGTTGTTAATTGAGTCGTTTTCTCTATGGTGCTGTCCTTGCAGCCCTTTTAATCCAAATTGGGTGTAATGGTTAGGAAAATATTTCAGATACAGTAATAAAGAAGCTGCATGCAACTGGTGCGGCAGACAAGACCAGTCATGAAGATAAGATTGAAACCTGTTCAAATGGGACAAAACCTGTGATTTGTAATAATTGTATGGGAAATTAAATTATATTTTATCTCTTGCAAATGTGAATCATCCATAATTTCCTCTACAAATTGCACATCTTCCCCATTTAAAACGCAGCTGTAATTTGTTTTTGTGGTGCAAATTGCTTTTATTAGCGATGCTAGCAGCATGACTGGAGGGAATGGCAATGTCAGACTGTGGGTCACTCCGCTGCTTTGGTCCAGAATTAAACATCTCAGTGATTATTGGACGAATCGGCGTAAAAATTTGGTGCAAACATTCACGGTGTCCAGAGGATCGAAAATCTGATCATCTAGCATGTGGTCCAAAAATATGGAGGATGGATGAGTCTAAATTATGTGCAGGTGTGAATGTGAATGGTTGTGTATGTGTTGGCCCTGTGATAGACTGACAGGGTGTACCTGTCGTCTGGCTCCACCCCCCCACCCCCACCCCCCAGAAGCAAGTACAGTCAAGCACAGTTAGTTTCATCAGACACAGTGATATTGAATTTCATTTTCCAGTGCAGATGTGTCTCTGCAGGGTTAATTCATAAATGACACGAAGTCCTCAGATAATACTTGGCAGATGGAAATAGACTTTATTTAAAACTTGGCCAAGATCAAAACCAAAGGTGGTAAAATAACAGAAGGGAAAGCCGAGACATTTGTCAAGCGTAACACAGGGTAGTGATACTTCAACTTGATGCATGGGGCCAACTTTTTGGCATCCTCAATCTAATAGCCTGAGTAGTATTTCAACCCCTGCAGCGGAAAAGCTTCAGCAAATTCCAGCCTGTTCAGCTCTCTGAAATATGCTGGCAGGAAAAGCTGAATAAATGACACGAAGCTACTTTGAGAAATTTTGGACCAAGACAGATGACCGAGGGTTGCAAGTGCTGGATTATTTGTTTTCTTTAGAGCAGTATCATAGGGTGTTATTTTGCTTTTATCGTTAAGAAGTTAAGAGCAGCGTGTGGCGCAGCTGTACGGAGGCGAGGGCATTTTTCTTTGAACAGATGGTATCGTAATTTAGTCGTCTGGGAAGAACAAGGCTTTCCTTCATCTTTTGATTTGCTTAATTTTCTCGCTTTGTTGCTTGCGTTTGTGACACCTTTCGGGTTTTTAGCACGGATCCACGCGGCAGGTGAACTTTTTCACCAAGTTCATAACGTGAGGACAGGACAGTGTATTGTTGCACTCATTTGGATTTAGTACAGTGTGCAGGAAACAAATCCAGTGCCTGAAAAGCCTGCTCTGGGTGTCAGTGGCATCCTATCTGTTACAATGGTATTGTAGAGCACAGAGGAGCGGCTGTGATACTGCTGTTGTAACATGCAGTGCCAGGCCCTCTGTTAGTCTTCAGTGGCCTCAGAGGCCAGTCCTTATCTTTTAACAACACACCTCTCAGCCATCCACTGGCATACAAATGAAAGACTCACTTAGGGGCTGCTCTCTCTCTCTCTCTCTCTCTCTCTCTCTCTCTCTCTCTCTCTCTCTCCCTTCTCTGTCTCTACTCACCCCTCCTCCCTCCCTCAACCTCTCGCTGTCACGCTAATCCTGTTTAGTGTTGGAAACACAGCACTGTTGCAGCATTGTTGCGCTATTGTGCTCTCCAAGATATTCTGAGTAAATGATCTACCAGTAGCAACACATGAGATATTATAGCGGCCTCGCTCATGTGTCAGACACCAAAGAAAAGAATCATATTAAAAGTGCCAACGTGATTTATAAACCGAGCATGTTTCTCCCCTCAGCTGGCTTGTAA